TAAACTTTAAATAGACTAAAAAATTATACTACGAGTTTCCAGCACCAAAAACATCCATTACCCCAGAGCTGATGATCTGAACACGGTTTCCATGTTTATCCAATTCCAGTTTACAAATTAGAAATCACAGTTTGCTAATGCGCAAATCAGGAGCCTACGTGCCGTTACCTTCTGGCACAAATCCCAGGGCATGGCTGGGGTTGGGAGGGACCTCCAGGGAGGATCTGCAGCCCTTCCATTGACTCTGCAGCCAACCTGGAGGCCTCGCAAGCACGGGAGTGTTTTCCAGGGCACACGGGACGCTTCCCCTCACCTGCACCAGCCGTGGTTACTACAAGGGCAGCCACGGAAATGGCAGCACCTTCGGCCCTCTAACAAGCCACCCATTTCCTGCACATCACTGCGGAGAATCCCTGCCTCGGATGAGTAAAAATTAAGTTCCAGAAAACGAATTTACTCAACCCTGCTGCAGTATTTTTACGTGGCTATTTGCCACCTTGTTAACGACAGCGTGAGACACCTGGAAGCCGTGGAAAGCACATTCCACTATAATCTTTTTTTTTTCTTTTGAGCTTCTGTTAATGCTTTGTCTTCGTTAACTTGCAGAATCAGGAAAGTCAAAGGCTTTAATTTCTTGGTTTGTGTGTTTGCTCATTTTGGGGATAGGAGGGTTGTATTTTAGCTGGATTTTAACATTGGCTGGGTGGCCTCAGAGAACATAGCAAAAGAACCTGACTTGGTTCTCTTCAGGTTCCCAGTTGTGTTCTATGAATTAGGCATTTCATTGCATACCATCATACACGTGATCACTCTGTAAGCACTCTGATACCACCCTCAGATTTGGCCACTTTGGAATGTAACCTAGAATTGGCGATACTGATTATATTTTTTCCCCAATTCTCATTATGAGGCCTGAATTCTTCTACTAGCTTAAAAACTCTAAACTAACTTCTAGGTAAATGCCTACTATGATGTTTTCTACACAAGGCATCCACACTGACCTGAAAAAAACCCAGCTTTTTCTTAAGAAGAGGATAGAGCAAAACAGGCTGGGCACACGGTTCTGCGTGAGCACAAACACACATATGGTGGTTTTCCTTTTCCAGCTCCACAATCCCCGGGCTTTGAAGCAGTAACAGGAAAGATGCAGGACACCATCTAGGTGCCAAAGATGTCCTCACTGCCGTCTCTACGGGTCACTAATGCACTCACTGCGGTTCCCGTGAAATGACCCAAATTTTGCCATTTGTGAGCCCAGGAGCAAAGAGGCAGCTAAACGCTGTCCTGGAGAACAGCGCTCCATCCAGACTCCACCACGGAGCTCTGGTCTGATGCCCGGCAAATCGCTTAAGACCAACCATTCAGATGGTCATTAGGCCACGGGCCAGCACGCAGAAAAGCGAGACTGCAAAACCCGGGCTTTGGAAGTTTGCTTAGACCTGGCTCTGCTGCAAAATAGGCGCTTCACGTCTCGACATTCTGTCCTTACTCTTCTTGGCAAAGCTTGTCTTCAACAGTGCTATAACACAAAGCTAATGCCCTCCTGCACCGCCTCAGCAAAGCACATCGGTACTGTAGCTACAAACACCATAAAAAGTCACGGAAATAAAAATTAATACTTTTGTCGTAAGAGTAGGACTTTAATAGCACACTAGAACACGACCTGGCCATTTCAACAATTAATTTAACTATTGCAAAATAGCAAACAGCTATTCATTAAGCCAGAGGAACCACTTTGAGATGAATCTTGTAGAGAAAATAATACGGAGATGCATAATGAAGGGCCAATATGATAGTATATCTACAGAGAGGCCAAATGCCATTTCCAATCCAGTGAAAAAGCCACAGCTTCGTTGTTGGTCTTCAGAAAGGATTTTTCCAAAAGGCATAAGTGAAAAGGAAAGGAATAATCAAAAGGAGGGCAAAACAGAAGTTTAATTAGTCAACAGATTCATTAATCGATAAAACTAAAGGCATCTAACAACAACAAAAAAACCTGCAGCAAGTCTCAATGTAATGTGTAATTCTGCAAGATGAACAAAATCACCATCATCTGCAGCTACAGCAGAAAACAGGCAATTACTGAGGCTTTTTCCAACGTGCATGTACACACCCCCACACCCAGATAGCTCGATAGTGGGAAATGCACAAAAGATTCGAGCATGACACCCTCCCAATCCCTACAGCTTATCCAGCGCAGCCGTCTGCCTTGGCCGCGTCGCCCTCGTGCTCTTCCACGCTCACAAGAAGGAAAAAACAAAACAAACTTCATGACTTTTTGCTTTATATATATTTAATTAGTTCAGGACAGGCCAAACCCATCAAGATTGCACTATCTACATGACCACTATGGAGAGTTACTGAGCTGCCAGGGTATCTGCTCTGACTAGCCTTTATTTCAGTAAAATAACCAAAAATGTAACTTATCTGTCCTTTTAGACTGGGCATAATTGACACCAGAACATTCTGCAATTCCTAATGAAAGAACTATGCATCTCAAGTCACACTTTTTAAAAGCCATTATACCCTGTCACTCTTTTTTTTTTTTTTTTGAATACACAACTTTGAGTAAAGTTTCTAAAAGCAACACATCCGAGGGAAAATGAGGAATAACATATGAAAATTAGATTTTAGAGGGCCTCAGTCTGCTAGGGAGACCTTGAACTTAATCAATATGATTTTTCCACATAATAAAGCAGGCATATGCTGCAACGTGTGCAACTGTTCCAAAGTTGGTGGTTTCGGGATCCGTGAAGTGACATTTTTGGAAATGATCATCGATAACGTTTGATATTGCAAAAGCAATACAGAGACAGAGGTCAGGCTGCCTAGAAACCATGCAAGTCCCTGCTAGGCACAGTGGACAGAGGTGCAGGCAGGACCTGGGACACAGCAGGCGAGCAGGAGAGCTGCACAACACTAAATACATCAATTCTCGTTAATTTTGTGCAAGCTTGCACAGGAGATTTTTGCCCTGGTTCCCAGATTATCCCAGCAAACCAACAGTGAGAGTCTAAGCCAGAAGTAACTGAGCTCTTTCCAATAGCAAACCAACAGTGAGAGTCTAAGCCATGATATCAGAGAAGTAACTGAGCTCTTTCCAAGAAACGAGCTCAGATGGACACCAATTACACATATTTCAAGTTCTCAGAACATACAAACATGAAAATAATCCATCATCAGAAATGGTGAACGCATTAAGTCTGCCTTCTAATTGCAGCAGAGCCAAACCTGGGTACCATAAAGCTCTGAGATTGCCTACCAAGAATTCAGGTGCTTCAGTCCCATTTTCCAGGCAAAATAACCTCTGCCTGGAGAACAGGCATGGAAAGTCTCATTGCCAAAGTGGTGCTTTTACTGAGCTGAATCATGCCATGGAAGCTGAATTTTAAACTTCTATGCAAACCCTGAACTATGGCTTTTGTTAACGTAAAAGCCACAGCTCCGTGCCACTCCTATGTCAAAACATCATTTCCTCCTCTTAAACATATTTGGACATTTTCTTAAGGTAAACTAATTGTCCAGTAAAGCAATACCTTGCCATTTCACTGATTTTTATTCCCCCATTTTTGCCCACAGGGTGAATATTTTGTCTATGGTTTAATTAAATTGAGTAACAGTACTCCAAGATGAGAGAACTTAGAATGCAAGTCTAATATACAACTGAATTTTTGCTTTATCTACAAGCAGTTATTTTATATTAATTAGATCTGCTGTGCTACCAGAGTCAATCTAGAACTTTTCATAAACACTCTTTAGAGAGTCAAGAGTATTTTTTTAAAAAGTATAGTTTTCTTAATTTATTGCCATTTGCAAATTCAGGATATCCTATTCTATTTCGGCTTCTTCTGTCCTTGAGTTTCAGGAGGAAAGGAGACTTTCTTAGATTAAGTTTTAAATATTTCATGAACACCCAATGATTTGGTAACATGAACTCCCTTATAGTGAGAATGTAATTAAACTAGCTGCTTTTTTAAGATGAACAACACAGTCTGCAACCAGAACCTGCAATACACTTGCTGTGTACATAAGAAAAACCGTTCTGGAGGCGTTCTGAAGTGTTTCTAGACTAGTTCCTGTGTTTCTGAACGCGGCCAAAACCTGAGTTCCTGAAGAAGCTGCTCCTCCTTGAAAAAGTTCCTGCTGTCACATTTCCCCGTGCTTATGATTCCTGCATCCTACATACACGCCTATAGGTATGCACATACGATCAGAATGCATGCAGAGGAAAAGGACTTGTGAAGAAACAAATGGTAAGACTGAAAAAAAATATACTAAGCCACACATGGTTTTAGTGCCAAGATTTACAGAGCAGCGTGAAGTGACACCTGCATTAACTGAGTGACAAAGATCTGTATTTCTAAAGCCTTTCCAAGCAGCAAAGCCCCAGTCCGTAGGGTTTGGCCCCTAGGCCCTGGCAAACACCCTGGTTTGCAGCTCTGCCTGGGGATGCGTTTTCCACAAACAACAAGCAGAGGCCTCGGCGGGGATTAAAGCGCCGCAGAGGTGCAGCTGACTCATGGGGTCAATTAGAAAGCATCTCCACTTGGGGCCTTTGTTCCTCCCGGGTTTTGCTCACAGTTTTTGCCCCACGGATGCTAAGGGCCAGCACGCTGCCGAGCGGCGCCAGGAAGCCCTTCCGATGGCCATCTGCACGCGCAGCACTTGCTGCACAGCCTGCGTATTCCTTTAAAGTTTCCACTGGTGCGTGCTGATTTGAACTGCAGGCTCACAGCTTGCAGCCAAGGGCAGCACATCAGGGCGCTCCGATTCATTTTTCTAACATCTGGAAGGAAACGGGAGCTGCCTTTTTTCAGCTCAAAGCGGTACCCGATACAGACCCCTACAAATCCTCACGCCGGCTCAGGTGCAGCCTTCCCTCCACAGCCACCATCTCATGCACGATCACGAACGGCAAGCGGCTCCCGTCCCTGTTCCCGTCCCCGCGCCGCTCGCGGTGACAGGCGACCGAGAGCCCGAACAGAACGTGCCAGACTTACCGAGTGCTTCTCCTGCTGGCCCGTAACTCCATGGCTAGCTGCGATTGCAAGGGGTTTCATAATGAAGAGACACACGCCGAGCTGAAGCTACACATCATGCACCGATTTCTCATGGAGGGCAAGTCACCTTCTACAGCATTAAATTAAGAGGAGGAGGAGGAGGGTGGGAGGAGGAAAGCAGGCTGGAGCTAAAAGTGTCACTACTGGCGAGCTCCAGAGCCCCCTCACACTTGTAGTGCCGAGGAGCGATCCAAACGACAGCGCCCGGCTCCATTTTCGCAGCGCTGAAGGTCCCCGCGTGTCAGGATGCGGCGCGCCGGCTGAAACCCGACGCACGCAGCCTTCATCCCGCGGAGCAAAACCGCTCCCGGAGCCCCGGGGACGGCACGAGGAGGAGGCGGGAGAGAAGGCGGGGGGGAAAGAGAAGCTAAAATGGCTGACTGCAC